TCATATGATATTTGTGTTTCTCTGTCTGACTCACTTCACTTACTATCATAGTCTCTAGGTAGGTCCATCCATGTTGCTGCAAATGGCATCATTTCATTCTTTCTTATGGCTGAGTAGTATTCCACTATCTATATAGACCATATCTTCTTTATCCATCATCTGTCGATGGACTTTTACAAACTTCCCCCATTTATGAGGACATCAGTCATACTGGATTAGGGCCCAAAGTAATGACCTCAGTTTAACTTGATTACATCTGTAAAGACCTATTTCAAATAAGTCACATTCTGAGATACTAGGGGTGGGACTTCAACCTATCTTTTTGAGGGGGACGTAGTTCAACCCATAATATTCCATATTGCTAACCCCAAAGGCCATTTCTCAAGGATTATCTTAAGTGCCCATATCCAGCGCCTGACACGTGTGGCTATCTCTCTTCCCTTGAAAGACTTCTTCGTTTGGCTTCCAGGACACCACATTCACCTGTTTTCTCCTCCACTGCTGCGCTTTCCATCTGGGTCTATTTGTCTGTTTCATTTCATCATCTTACCCTCTAAGTACCTGAGGATGCCCCAGGTGCAGCCCTGGGACTTCTCTCCTTTTTATCTACATTCACTCCATGGGGGATCATATACAATTCTATGGTGTGAAAATCCATCAGTAATTCTGCTTCTCAGATTTATCTCTGGCCTGGACTGCTCCCTGTAACTCCAGGCCCACTGTGCAAGACATGATGGACAGGCATCTCAGACTAACATGCCCCAAACCACGTTTCCGACCTTCTCCTGCACCCACTCCTCTCTGTCTCCCTCGTCTTGGTTAATGCTGACTGCCAGTTTCCCAAGCCAAAACCCACAGTGTGATCTTGTATTTCTATTCTTTCTTTTACGATCTACATTCACTCCATTGGCAAATCTTACTGGCTTTATCTTCAAAATATTTCTGCAACACAATCCTTTTTACTACTCCCACTGCGGCCACTCTGGTCCCTCACCCAGTTATCATGGCGGCCCCCCCAGGTGGGGTCACCCCTCCTGCTGCTGCTCCTGGGCAGCCTGTTCCCCACACAGCAGCAAGAATGATCGGCTCGCCGTAATCAGACCCCTCCAGTGCACGTCTACCGCATGCAGGGAAAATCCAAAGTCCTTTTTACGATCTTTGAGTCCTTAGTGGTCTGGCCACTTCCCTTCCACCTCCCTCTCTCCCCTCGTCCTCCTCTGTGATCCAGCCCCACTGGACCACACGCTTTCCCTTTGAAGACATCAGATGTGATCTTACTTCACTGTCTTTGAACTGGCCAGTCCCTCAGCCTTGGCTCTTCTTCCCCAGACAACCACGTGGTTTGCACCCTAGGTAATATAAGTCTTCGTTCTAAATGCATCTTTCCCCTGACCTCTCCCTCCATCTAAACTTTAAACCTCTCTCCCCTACAGCATTTTTTATCCCCCTTCCCTGCTTCATTTCCTCTCTGGCACTTAAAACTTCATATCCTCCACTCTCTATTTAATATTGTCTGCCCCCCACATGCACATGCACACGAGAATGTACCCTTGGAAACCGAGTAGTAAACTTGGCTATTGGCTGGACTTCGGGGAACGAGAAAGGTGAGGAACCACCAACTCCCACTGCAGGATTCATGCAGGCATTTATTTATTCAGTAAATATAAAGTCCTGCTGTCTGTTGGGCACTGCTCTAAATACCTGGGAAAACCCAGTGAACAAAACAGGCCAAGATCCTGACCCTCAC